ACTTCCGTGCAATGGTGTATAAGCTGGAAGTTCGAAATGTCAACTACCAAGTGATGCCAGATGAAGTGAGAAACACTTTGCAGGCCTTGCAGGTGGCAGATGGCTTGCAATCGATTCGCCTAGATAGAGCTGAAGGGTGGAAGGAGCAGTTCGAGAATCTCATTCGCAAATGGGGTCCGGACTTTCTCTGTCAGCTGGTCTTGATGTTCAACACCGAGGAACAGGCAAAGCTGTGTGCTCGTGTTCTTCACGGACGGTGGATTGCAGGTCTCAGTAAGCCTGGAAATAAGACTTGCTCCTTGGAGAGATTTTATTCTCATATTTTATGTTATTTCTTTGTGTCACTGCCACCAAAACTTATATTCGCTGAAACACCAGGTTTATCCGCACTGACCTTTGGAGATCCTGACGGTCCTCAAGGTGTATCCGGGTGCAACATTCCTTCCGCTCAATCTGGAGGTTGTCGTTCACATTTACCTATCTATCCAGACTTTGTCTCTGTTGACCAAAGTGCTTTGCGTCCTATGTTGCCAGCTGCAGCAACTATCCGCCAACCTGTCCTGCATCTATGTGCTGGGGAAACTCCACATGCTGTTTCTGCACCAAATGCCATGGGCTTAGCGTCGGTTCCACGACGTCCTTCATTATCTGCGACATTTCGCACGAATGATGCGCCTGGAGATAGTACAACTGGGATTCCCTATGCTCCAGCATCTCATTCTACATCAGTCGCACGAAGAAGTCGATCACCTGTACGACGTGTGCCCCTTGAGAAGACTGATGCCTTTCCTTCGGCCTCCTCCATCTCTGATGTGCAGTCAGATGATGCTTTGCGAGCCTCTTTGCGTCATCTTCTTGCAGATGATTCTAGCTGACTGAAACATTGTGGCACTTTCCGCAGGATATAAACCAAGCAAAGAAAGATTCCTTGCGGATCGCAGCCTTTAGTTACTTGAGATACGGAAATAACGGTTACTTGCGAGCTTTACCTATTACTTGTGTTGTAGCTCTCCGTTCTTGGCATTACTTTTCATTACTTGTGTCCATTGCCAACATTCCATGCCTGTGGTTTTCTTTACCAGGAATCGTGAAAGAAAAGGTGGCGCAAGTACTATCAAAGACAAAATAAGCATAGAAATTAATATAGAAATATGTTTCTATTGTCAGAGACTTTCGACTGTTGCAAGCATTCATATTTCTCTTCGGCAATCGCCGATCGCGCCGTGCTACCTGTGCCATGCGGCCCTCTGGTCGTTTGCTACCTCGTGTGCACGTGTCAAACTTGCGCTTCGATGTGACGAAAAATGAGATCCGGACCGCTGTGTATGATTATGCTGGCGTGCATAGGTCATTGAAGGAGATTCAGTTAGTTCGAATGGATGAACAAAACTGGAAACCAGAGCATTGCAGCTGCTTCCTGAAGATAGACAATGTTTCCAGGATGCGATAGTCGCTTTCTCTGGGGATAACTTTTGGGGAGTCATTATGCGCATAGCTTATACGCAGCTTTACTTGAGCTGATTGCAACATGTCACACTTGAGGCTCCAGATGCGGATTGGGTGGTCGAGCAACTCAACCAGCGTTACGATCCAACTCTGTGCACACGGTGACTAGATCTGAGTTTGTATTATGTGTTACCTTTTCGTGTGCCTTGCTATGTCTTAGCTTTCCAATGCTGGTATTCTGACAGTTTCCCCCCATGCTATGTTTATTCTTTCCGTTTGCGTCTTCTCATTGCTGAGGCGTGAGAAGCCACTCAAAGTAGAACACGAAGATTTGTATCGGAGAAGCAGATGGGAGGATCCACCGCATCCTGCTCACAGAAGCGACCTGTGTCGCCACAGCCTCGTCCAGGACAAGGTCTTCCTCAGGGGCCCATGGCTTCATTGCCGCAGCAGGTGAGCGAATGGACCATGCCACCAACTCAACAAGACGGAAGGCAGCAGTATGGCATAGGGCCTTCCAATGGCTATCGTCCGAATAGCATGCATCAATGGCATGAATCTCATCCTCAAGGCAACTCTCAATGGGTTCAACCTCAAGCACCTGCAATGGGTCAAGGAGATATGGCCTGCATGAGCCAGAACATGGGAACGTCCTTCGGTTCAATGCAGATGAACCCTTTGCCTATCCATCAGTGGCAGCAAGCTTCTCCTTGGAATCAGATTGTTCCTCAGCAAGCTATCCCACAAGTACCCGTGCAAAACGATGCTATGTTGAATCAAGCCTTACTTGCTGCTTTAGCGCAAAGGCAATTGGAGGAGCAGTGCGCTTTGGCAGAAGCTTGTGAAAAAGCTAAGGCTGATGCACAGAACAAAGCACGTCCTTCCTCAAAGGCCTCAGCCCCTCCACCTGAGGAAGCTCAGTTACATGCTCAGGAGACCTCTGCAGAATATGAATGGATTCCAGAAGAAGCATATGGTGATCCAGAAATTGTTGCAGCTGTTGAATCTCAGAAAGAGATAGAGGAAGGCAGCACAGAGGAAGATTATGTCTCTCCTGCACATTTCGACGACCTTGGCGATGATTATTTGGCAGAACAGTTGCACAATAACTTCAAGGAGGAAACCTCTTGTGTGAAGGCAGAGATGTCAGACGTAGCTGTTGATCAATTGAAGCAGGAGTCCATGGACGATGAGTCGCATCTCCATCAAGATGATTATGGAGATAGCCACGCCTCCTCGGAGGATGAAGAATTTGATTTAGATGACTTGATGAACGACCTTGACAAGTTGAAAAAGAAGATTGACAGATGCAAGAAGAAGCGCAAGATCATGTGACAGTCAAACCTTACAGAGCCAAGAGTGTGGAAAAAAAGAAATGCTGCGTATTGTTATTCTTACATGTTTTACTTTTGTTGGATCACTTTACTTGTGATATTCAATTACTTGAGTTCAAGTTACTTGAGATTTGTCAATTTACTTGAGTATCAGCATTCCTTGACCTTATCAATTTTATCTTGAAGTCTTCAATTACTTGAGATCATTTTACTTGTGCTCAAGATTTGTCATGGAAACAATTGCAGTTGCATCTTTAAGTCTTCAATTACTTGAGATCATTTTACTTGTGCTCAAGATTTGTCATGGAAACAATTGCAGTTGCATTTTTGATATCTCAACAATATTGAATTACAAAACCAACAACAAGTAGGTATACCTCATTAGAAAATTGACATAAATAATGAAAAAAATATAATATTTTTAAGAAAAATTGTATAAATTCTATATATAGTTCATACGCAGTTTATATGTAGTTTATATGTAGTTTATATGCACTTTTGAAAAGTGCATATAAACTACATATAAACTACATATAAACTACATATGAACTACATATGAAATATATATTTTTTTTAAAAAAAACTACATAAAAATATATATAAATTACATATAAACTACATGTGCACTCAAAACATTTTCTCTGTAATGTGTATAAAACTATACGATAATGATAATCAGATGAATACCATGCAAACAAAAAAACCAAATAATATAGATTATATATATAGATTATATTTTTTTAATTCAAATACATTGAAAAACAAAAACAAAATGAATCAACCACTTTTTTTATATAGTCTATTTTCATGACAACTGGATTGAAACAATATAAAACCCTGTTTATTTTTTCAGAACAGTTTTTTTTTTAAGCTGAAAAAAAAGGTGCAGTTTTAACTTTACTTGTGAGACTTTAGATTTCTGTGTCTTATTTCTCTGTGCCATTTATTAGTTACTATGACTGCCCTTGCAGTGTTACTCAATTTTTTTCTCTGCAGTATATTTTTTATTCTAATCTTGGTCACTATATTTTCACAAGAGAAACTATTTTCAATATTTTCTGAAACAGTAAAATCATCACACATCAGAACTAACACTGCAAGGGCAGTCACAGTAACGTCTTCTACTAAATAATAAGTGGCACACAGAAGTAAAACACATAAACCTGAAATCTCACAAGTAATTTAAGAACGTTTGTTTTAAGGTTAAGACAAAAAAACTGTCCTGGAAAAAAAAAATGCGTGGTTTTAAATTGTTTCAACCCAGTTGTTATGAAAAAAAACTCTATATATTTTTTTTAATTTTTCAAAAGTACAATTTTCCCTGATAGAAGCTGACAACTGATGCAATTTCAAATTGACTTAATTCTATGGCAATATATCAAATTAGGAAATCAACCCAGTTCAATTTGTATCACTTTGCCATTTTTGATATGCAAAGAGATGTTTGCATCTTTAATTCTCTGGTATCACATCATTTATGTTTTAACCATTCAGTGCAAAATTCAAAAAAATAAAGGTACCATAAGTGTACAAAAAAAATCACATGTAACTGCCTCAGGTAATATTCAATATATTATTATATATTAAAATTTGTAAAAAGAAAATGATCACAAGTAAAAAAATAGGAAATTACACGTAATTACCTTAGCCTTATTTAAAAAAATAATAATATTATTATATCTACAATTCAAGTAATGGAAATGTTGGATGTAAAAAAAAAACGTCATACCTATCAAAAGCTGTAGACAACTCTTGGATTCATCAAAAATAAAAAATAAAAGAACATGCGTCAAACCAGTCTTCTGTTCGAAGTGAATTTTCGAAGGTTAAGTCTTGACAGATTTTGTTTTGTTTTTGGTTTTGTGTGTTTTTTTTTGTGACGAACATGGGTATATCATTCCATGATAAGGAATACTTTTGAAACATTTTAGTGCTTACATTTAGGCGTAGTTTATATACATGTATATAATTAATGGCATCTTATATCTCTTATATAGATCAAATTATATATATATATACATATGTGTATATATATATATGTTAATATTGATTATGTTACTAATTTTTACATGTAGCTCCCATATCCGAAATATAGCGGAGGCAATCGCATGTCTTACTTGAGCAAATTCCTTGCGTCAAAGATGAGCATTTGTTCAAGTACCTGCCAGCCAATTCGAATCAAAGTGAAAAAAATAAGCAGGTTGCTGTTTTTCCGAGCATATGGCGTCGGAAGCAGTGGAGGTAGAGGAGTCGCCACAACGAGGTACGCAGGCAGATAGTCCCGGTCGGAGGTCTGAGAAACCTTCTCCTGCAAAGCCCTTGAAAAAGCCAAGTTCAAAAGAAGTTCCGAAGGCAAAGGCAAAGGCATCGAGCAAAGGAGAGAGTAAGAAAAAAGCTTCCGCGAAATCCAAGTCTGTGATGAAAACCATCAAGAAAAAGCCTGCTGCGGCTCGTCATGAGGTTGAGACAAAGCCCAAATCTTCCAAGGGAAACAAAGGTCTCATGAAGAAGCCAGCGGCGGCCCCAGGCAAAAGTGGTGCTGCTGGAATAGGTTCTTCTTCTTCTTGGAAAGAAGGCATTGTCCGGGAGACAAGCAACGCCACTGACCAAGATGCTGAGCAACCCGAAGAAGAGCATGGCAACTTCGAAGAGGATCCAGTTCTTGAAGATGGTGAGGTCCATGAGATCCGTGACCGCACCAAGAACCAGAAGTTCCAGACAATGTTAGCCAATGGAGAGCTGCCTCCCTTCATTCAGAAGGAATGGGAGCGTGTTTCGAAGTTGAGATCCGGGAAAAGAGAGTGTCAGACTGCGATCATCAATGCCATCTATGATCATTCCGCCGCAGGACGATTGATCCTCAACACGGACAAGGCCATCTTCGAAAGTATGCGCTCTGACTACCAAGATACGAAGAGCAAGAAGCAACTGAAGACTCTCCCCCTGCTTCTCTTTTGCGGAAAATTCCGCTTGACTCCAGAACAGGTCCAGCAAGGTCTTCGAGAGGGGCAATTCATGGAAGTGGAGACACCGAATGGCACAGAGTATGGTTGGAGACAGAGCACCTTCTCGGAGATCAAGGGCGTCAAAACTGCGACTGGCTACAAGATGTCAGAGGAAGGCGACCAGGATACGATGCAGAAGTACACGGAGATGACCCAATGCTGGAAAAGTGGCATCAAGCGTCCACAGAGCATTGCTAGTGGATCCAACCAGCTCGCCATTTGTGATGTGGAGTCCCCGTTGTCCCAGGAAGAATGGGTTGTCGCACAGAAACAATTGCAGTCGGCCTTTGCGGCCTTAGATCAGCAGGAGAAGAATGCGATGAGACACATGGGTGTCATCGAGCAGAACGAAGACGAGCCATTGTACCCTCTGCTGAATCTCGTCTGCATTGATGGACAGCTATTGTTCTTCATTGCATTTGCTGATTTTGTATCGTTACGTGTGATCACTTTTTTAGTGCAAGTTATCCTGCCAGGAAAGCAGCCATCCAAGAGGTTCGACGGGTCAAGGCGGAGATCTCTCATGTGCAGTCCTTCAAGGAGTTGCCCTCCGGGATGAAATTGACTTTGAAGACATACAATGATTTCTTGCACACCCAGGGACAGATCTGTGAAAGTCAGGAAGATGTGATCGCTGGCATCAAGGGTCAGCTTGATCAGCGCGCAAAGCGTGCCAAAAGAACCTAGACAGGTTATGAGTCCCTGCGCATCTTTTGCGATGGTACATTTCGCAAGATTTTGGCGGCAATGCTGATGCGGGCTGGAAAGAAAGTTGTACTTGCGATGTTTCTATTTCATTCCTTGTGTCTGCCTTACTTGAGTTTCATAATAATATGGAAGGATCGAAACACCACTTCTCATGTTTGAGATTGCAATGCTTTCCTTGTGTCGGCCTTACTTTCGTTCAATTCTTTTATTTGAGATTGATCAGCACGCCCTACCTTGTCTGTTGATTGAGCTCTTATGGCTCATCTTGCTGGCAATGTCAACGTTGCAACAAACAATAGATGTGAATCATCCAGAGCAGAATATGAGTAGACGGTTCATTCATAATAAATGTTATTCTGACACATCACAAAATGACAGCAAGAGTAATAGGTATAATAGTAAAAAAAACTTGCATGTACCGTCTTGTGCGACGTGAAAGCATTTCCATGGCAAGACAGTGTCTGTGAAACTGTCCGCATGAACGCGGAGCCTCATAAGTCTGGAAAGAAAAGAAAAGTAGGTGGACTTCAGCAACGCTTAGCCCGCGCAGACGAAGCAGCAACCGCGGAGAGTGCTGTGCATGCTGTGCTCATGCTTTTGATTGCCAAAGGCATCATGTCTGGAGTGTCGGCGCATGAAATTGCGCAGGCAGCACAACGAGATGTTCAAGGAGCACGAGATGGCAAAAGATTTCCGGATCTGGAGAAACTGGCAAGTCTTGAACAAGGAAGAAATCTCCTTCGATCTGTGCACGACAGATTACGAAGACAGTCCACTTTGCCCGAGCCTGTGAAGGTAGCAATGCCATACACAGACGGTTTACACGAGGCTGACATTTTACTTCCGCATGAATGGTTTGCAGCTATGTCTGAGGATGACTTTAATTGGGAAAGAACCATTTGCCCCAATGCTGATCGCTTACCGGATTTTTGGCAAGCTTGGGAATCACATCCAGGGATGATGCATCATCCCATGAAACGTTTCGACAGTTGGCAGAGAAAGTTTATACCCATTTCCCTTCATGGGGACGAAGTCCCTGTGATGGGAGTTGGGAAAATCTGGAGCCGCTCCGTTTTATCCATCACTTGGATGAGCATGCTGGCGAATGGGCTTGGCGCCAAAATGGCTGATATAGTTTTTTACATTTGGGCCATCTTCGAAAAAAATTCACTTCCGTCATCGACAGGCACTGTAGGCACGATGCAAACGCTCTGGCGTGTGCTCCGCTGGTCTTTCCAATGCATGTATGACTTGTAGAACCCCCGTTTGGCTTAAGACTGCTTTTACCGTTTTGGTGCAGGAGGGGGGGGGTATTGGTGCACGGCTGGTGCGCGGAAAAGGAAAATAGGGGCAAGGGTGGGTCTGGGAAGGGAAAAATAGGTGCGGGAGTGGGTTCTTGCCAATCTATGGATCCAGTCAGGATCCCGTCGGGACCCAGTCGGGCACCAATTTTTGCATTTTTGGGCACCGCTTTTGGCCAGTCGGGATCCAGTCGGGATCCAGTCGGGATCCAGTCGGGATCCAGTCGGGATCCAGTCGGGATCCAGTCGGGCACCAATGTCGGGAGGCAGCCAAATTCATAAAAAATAGCATTTTTGCAGTGTTTTTGCATGTTTTTCGGTGATTTTGGCTGCTTCCCGACAGGTCCAAACGTGGTGCCAAAAATTCGAAAATTGGTGCCCGACTGGATCCCGACTGGATCCCGACTGGCCAAAAGCGGTGCCCAAAAATGCAAAAATTGGTGCCCGATTGGGTCCCGACTGGGTCCCGACTGGGTCCCGACTGGATCCCGACCCGGTTTCTTCAAAAAAACACCTATTTCCTTAAATTTGAGCACCTATTTTTGAAATTTTAGCACCTTGCCGTGCACCACCCCCCCCCCCCCCTCCGGACCCCCCCCCCCACCAGTCTTAAGCCAAACACGGGCTTGGCAATGTATGACGGCTGCTGGCCGGCACTGGACTGGCGCGGTCTTCCCTATGACAGAGATAGCCAGCAAGGCAAAAAAGCAGGGAAACCCCTGGCACGCGGTTATCGAGCCGTTCTCCTGCAACTCTGTGGTGATCTGGATTACTTCAGTGAGTGGATCGACCTGCCAGTCTCAACGAATCGCACACGACCTTGTGCGCAGTGCCGTGCTTCTTATCACGGCAATCTTTCTTGGCTCGATAACAGGGAAAATTCTGGATGGCAGCTAGCTCTCTTAACTGTATCCACTTGGACCAGTCACTGGCGCAGCAACTGCGATCTATTTCAATTACCTGGCATGTCTTGTTGGTCCATTGCGTATGATCTCATGCACAATTTATATCTTGGTTGGCTGCAACACTTTTATGGTTCTGTTTTCTATTTGTTGACGCACGAGTGCTTGACAGATACACCCTTGCATAACCTGTCCGTCATCGAGGACTTCATCAAAAGTGCGCAATCACGCGATCGAACGCGGCAAAGGTACAGGCAACGTTTATCGAAACTGAGCATGTTTGTGAAAAAAAAGGCTACCCGAAACTCAAGGGTAGGGCATCCGACATCCGCGGACTCGATCTCTCTTTGTGGAAGTGCTGGAAACATTTCATGAATGTGGAATCGTTGCAACATCAATCAATCGAAATGTTTCTTCGCCTCAATGTCGAAGTCGGTACTCTGTTGAATGAACATGGTCCTCGACAAGGCCACTTTGGCATGCCAAGTCCCTTTGCTGAACAAACAGTTGAAAAAGGATGTCAAATGGCTCAACTACACGTCATGCTGATGGAACATTTTGCTGCTTCCGAGCTGCAATTGTTCAACTGCACCAGCAAATTGCACTTCGTGCTGCGCACACTGAAGCTGGCTAAACATTGTCACCCATACTTAACGTGGTGCTTCAAAAATGAAAGCAATATGCGAGTGGTTCAACAATTGTGGAAGTCATGCCTTTCAGGCAACAAACACTATGCAGTCGGAAATGTGGCTGCTCTCAAACATAGACACTTGCAAGCCATTCGCTGCAAACGCTAGCGATGAAAACAATGTTACTTGTGTCCTCATTCTTGTTACTTGTGTCACTATTCTGTCTTACTTCTATACCATCATCGTAACTTTTTTCTACAAACCAAGGAAAACTTTTCTCTACACATAAACAAATCCAATTCTTTATGCTAATTCATCTTCTACGAAAAAAAACAAAACAAACTTTTTTCAATACACTAATAAAATAACTTAAAATCCAACTATTATTCAACAAAAAAAATGTTAAAAATAAACCGAAAAAAAACAAATCGAAACCAAAAAATGCATAAAATTTAGGTCCATTTTTAGGTGCATTTTTAGGTAAATTTTCCGCGAAAAAAAATTACAGTAAATTGCTCGAAAAAAGTAAATCACTAAAAATGTAATTTTTACTAATTTCCGAGACTCAGGGTGAGGGGTCATTTGTTCGGATCCTTTCAAGTTCCCCTGTTATCGGATTAATTACTTCAACCTCATCTCCCGGTACCTCTCCTTCGATCGGCTCGTCCATTCGATTCCTCAGGTCGATGGGTTCCTTTGAGAATATTGTGACAATCACCTCATGAACCTCGATGTCCTTTTCAAGATCTTCGACTGGGGGATCTATTTTTAAGTTCTCTTCATGGACATGCCAGGAGTCATTATCTTTAATGCAAGTTGCTCGAAATGGGAAATCAGTGGCATTAAAGTCAGGAGAAGAACCGATGCATCGGTTATCGATGATCCGTACATTGACTTTGCAATTGGCAAATTCGTACCATGCTTCTTTGTGGTCGACATGTTTGAAGAACTCCAACCATCCCTGGTGATAAACGGCGGAAGCACTTGATTGTTGTGCAGCGTGTCCAGCTTCGATATCCATTATGGTTCTCTTGACTGGGCCTGGCTCCCGCACAGGCTGAGCATCTTGCTCTTCCAACGGCGGTAGCGCATCCTCGTCATCACACAGTTGGCAAGGCTTCAAACGACCCTCTTTGATTGCATCGGCACGTTTTCGACAGGGAAACTCAATGTTTTCAGGGACCGATACCTTCAACACCCTCAGTACTGTCACGGATTGGTCAAAATCTGCATCATTGATTTGTTTTAACGAAGCTACTGCAAATTCCTTCCTCATCCTTCCTCCAATGGAAGCCAGGATGGATTACGTATCCTAGGAAGACGCCCGGTTCAGTAGTTGGTTCAAACTTCATCTGCTTCTTGGGTTTCTTCCTAGGTCCGGTCCGGTAGTCCACCTTACATCCAAATGGGATAAGAGGCCCCTCGAAGTCAGTCCCAAATCTCAATTTCCATGGTGTGTCCCTTCCAGTTCCGTCCGGTGCAGAGTCATGCATTATGCACCAGTGTCTGGCAGCATAGGGCCAGTATCCGTGGTGCAGTCCTGCTTGAAGCAAATTAGCTCGGTTTCCTTCCAACGTGGATCGTACGGCGCGTTCAGCAATGGCATTGGACGTGGAAATATAATCTCTACTTATTTGATGCCTGATCTTCATAGCTCTCATAGCTGCTACAATCTCGGGGGCATTATCACTGTAGAAGATTCCAACTTTCTCCAAGTCATGGACGAAGTGCTTCATTGCGAGGGTAGTATTGGAAGTATCTCGGCGACCAGCTGGATAAACATACCGGAAATCAGTGGCAACGTCCTTAATTACCAGTGCGACCCTGTCGCCGTCAATTCCGGCTTCAGGATCTGATTTGGCAATAAGATAGTCATCAGTGATATGGTCCCCAAACTTCTTTGCCTCAACCATGGATGAACCTCCTTTAGAATATCCGGGTGGTTTGTACATCTTGGCCTTCGTACAGACGTCACAATATGGATTCTTGGGAACATGAGTCAACATATGCCGCTTACTTTTGGCTTCAGCTTTCAATGCGGCGTTTCCCCTTTCCCTACGTCTATCCCTTTCTGGGTCACGACGAACAACTTCATCTTGTATTTCATCCTCATCAGGCTGGACCTCCCGGTCAGCAGATGGTATGCCTTCCTCATCGGAGGGTGCATCAGCTCCAAAAATCGCCTGATATGTCGGGTACAAGGTCATCATCTAGTTTGGATGAATTACCGCCTACGACAGCAAGTTCATCATCTTCGTACTCTTCGTCGTCATAGTCGGGAGATGGGGGTGACTCTTCTCCATCATCGTCTGGTTCGGGCCAAGATGAACTAGCCAACACTTTCACTCTCTGCATTGAGGATTCATGTTGACTGTTTTTGGCAACGGCGGACAAATTTGGTTGGTTGGATTTGGAACACAGATATGGGTTAGCATGGCGCTCTACCACGTTTTCTTTAGAACTATTTTGTCCAAGTTTGGGTAATTATTGACCCTAAGTTTGGTAATTATTGTCCCCAACTTTTGGGAATTTTTGTCCCCAACTTTTGGGGATTTGGGATTTTTTGCCCCCAACTTTTGGGATTTTTTGTCCCCAACTTTTGGGAATTTGGGAATTTTTGGCCCCAACTTTTGGGGATTTGGGAATTTTTGTCCCCAACCTTTGGGGAATTTTTGTCCCCAACTTTTCCCAACCGAAAAAGTTGGGGACAATAAATAAATTCCTTTGGGAAAAGTTGGGGACAATAATTATTCCCATAGGAATTGAATTATTGTCCCCAACTGTTTGGGAATTTTTGTCCCCAACTTTTGGGGACAAAAAATCCCAAATCCATAAAAGTTGGGGGCAAAAATCCCCGAAAGTTGGGGACAAAAATTCCCAATTCCCCAAAAGTTGGGGGCAAAAATTCCCAAAAGTTGGGGGCACAAATTCCCAAAAGTTGGGGACAAAAATTCCCAAAAGTTGGGGACAAAAATTCCCAAATCACCAAAAGTTGGGGACAAACATTGCCAAAAGTTGGGGACAAAAATTCCAAAATTCCGAAAAGTTAGGGACAAAAAATCCCAACAGTTAGTGACAAAAATTACCAAAAGTTAGGGACAAACCTTGTAAAACAGTGCCTAAAGGGATAGCCCAAAAACATGGTAGAGAGACATGCTAAGATGATATGGGACATAGTCTCTGACTTCAAGTTCTATGACTTTCCCATCGGGTGAAACTAACTTTGGCTTCTCATTCTTGGAGCCCCTCCACACGAAGTCAAATCCGTCCTCCACGCACCTGAGACCAACTGACAAAACAGGAGGTGAACTTTGCACCAGGTACTCCCAACTACCCAAGTCGTGGCGAAATCCCAAAAATCTTGAAATTAGCTTGGGGGAAGGCTTTTGTGGAAGTCGTGGCGATGCGGCGTTTAGCTTGTGTTTAGGGTAGGTTGCTGTTTTACTATCTCATGTAGACCCAAAGTGGCGAAGCGGCGTTTAGGTTGTGTTTGGGGTAGGGCGTTGTTTTACTATTAGCATAGTGCTTTAATCTTGCTAGTTGCGTTCTCATTGTGTTTGGGATGGTTGCTGTTGGGTTCTGCAGCTACTGGCGTCTTGCTGTTGCTGCGGCTGCTGGTTCGACGGCTGCTGCTGTTGCTGTTTCCGGGTACTTCTACACAACACTGGGATTATCATCTCTACACCATGGCGGTGTGCTGGGATTCTGCAAATTGTCATTGTTTCGCTACCAGTGATCCAAGGAAGGGCAGGTTTGCGGCTTGCGGGCCAAAGTCCATGTGTGTAGATGCGGGGCTTTTTCCGTACCTCGCTTTGACCTCGTTTTGGACCTCGTTTTTTTCCTTTATCAGAACCCATCCTGCAGTATACAAACTAGGAAAAGGGCCTGCTTCGTGTTTTTGTTTGTGGGCGTCAACAGTGCCCACGAAAAAAGGCCCGTTGGAAACCGGCGTTCCGATGGGATTCGATCAAAAACGAATAGAACCATGATAGTTTGGTCAAGCTAGCGTTTCCAATGGGGAGAGGAGTTTTGCAAGGTCTGTGCCGGGACAGGGGTCGTGGCGAGCGTTTTGATTGGGGACAGCTGTCAAACGCAAACATTGCAAGGACTTTGGCGTATGGGTGTACGCTGAAACAGTGGCGTTCAACTCTGGGACCTTTACCTTGCCTTGCTTCATAGACGAACTTTCCCCGTTAGCTGTGATGAGACGGATTGGGTTGTCTGAGTAATATCCATAGTGATCAGGCACATGGTGATCAGTGAGTAAGTCCTGTGCACTGCGAGGTATCAACAATCCAATCAATGGAGGCTTCAAAACTTCCGTCAACATATTCTTCTGC